ATTGAAAATGCTAGCTTAGGATAATTTACGTAATTTAAAAATTCTATGAAACTTGTGAGTCTACAGAAACTGGCGGCGTCATGCAACGTATCAACAAATCGTGACCTCTTTGGACTTTAGCACTATGCATATCTGACTGTAAAACCTCGGTTGCTGCTGAAAAATGTTGATTTTAGCAATAGACAAAGGTTGAAAGTCAGCTAGTGAAATCACTTATTTAAGGTATATATATTAAAGTGAGGGCGTCGAACGCACTCTCATAAGCTCTGATTACTACTAGCAATTAAGTAACTTTAGGAAAATGTACAATGTATAAGATATTAAGCAATTGATCCAAACTTGTTCTTTTTCTAAGTAGCAAGTCCTTTCGCTGGCAATAGGGGTAGGTAAGTTAAATTATAGGAGGAAAACATTTCCTCGGACATTGCGAAGTGCTCTAATGGATATCTAAAATAACAAATGCCATTCTACTACAACCTGTAAATATTTTCATAATTTTATTACCGGAAATGTACGGAGGTGTGAAGATTGTCGTTACCTGTGTTGTTATTGTTCCAACAAGTCCAATGACCTTGCATGGTGTCAGTTGATTGGCATTGTTACCAACTCCTAACTGACCATTGCCGTTATAACCCCAGGCAAACAGCTGAAATTAACAGAGAACCTTGAACTTGGAGTGGTGGCTTTGAGTCACCAATGCTGAATCACACAGGCTTTGTTCAGTGCAGGGGTTTCATTTAATTCAATGTTTTCAGCAGGAGGACAACTAATTTTCACAGGCGGGTAAAATATTTGAATTGAACTTCTTTAAAAGAATTACTTTCCGCTAGATGGTTAACCAGGCGGGTAAAATTGTTCTCGAAGCCGGTTAATTTGCCTGGTACTCAGCTTTTAATGAAACCCCTGTCAGTGAGCAAAACAAGTTGAATTTTAAAACCTAACTCAAACTGCTGTCACAAATTTTCAAAATGATGACAGCACTACAAATATACATGCTTCAGCTGTAAACACTCTCATCAGTTAGAATATGAATTAAGAGCAAAAAATATATTATTACAAATTATTAAATTATGCTTATGAAGTGGACATGCTTTGGAAAGTGTTTCCTTGCTAGTTACAAAATTGATCAGTAAATAAATATTAAAAAAACGTTTTCTTGTTTGACCCCTTTTTACTCTTACCTCTCCTGCATCTGAGAGAGCCATGGAAGATGTCTGACCACAGGCAATCATGCTTATCTTTTTAGTACCTAAAATAAGAGTATCAAACATGAACATGATAATATTTTGGGTCAAATCTGAGATGCCTCCTGAGTATAGAAAAACGTTTGAGACTCTAGGACAAAGATGAACTTCTCTTTTCTCATGACAGCTGCCTACCAATTCAATTTGGTGACTTTCTGAAACCCTTGCATGTTGTATCATTTAATACAGTCAAAAGTAAAGGTAACGTCTGCATACCAGCCAAGTGGCCCATCAGGCCGGAGTTTATCCCAGTTTCTGTATAATAAAGCGACTAGAAGTATTTATACTCCTCCCTGGCTGGGATGCTAACTAGTCCATCATTTAATTTGCTGGTATCCATTGACACACAAGGGTGGAGAGAGGCACTGTGAGAGTTAAGTGTTTCACCCAAGAACACAACACAATGTCCCCAGCCTAAGCTTGAACCTGGACCGCTTGATCCGGAGACAAGCCCACTAACCACTGCCCCTCCTACTAATACAGTCAAAGCTAGGATATTATCATCACAAATGTGTGATTAGTTGGGAAGAACAAGAGGGTGAGATACCCACCTATTATAGCTGAATTTATCTTCCTGGGCACGGTCTGATTGTTGGTATTTCCAAGACCAATCTGTCCACAGTTATTGTATCCCCAGGCAAAAACCTGCAACAAAATAAAAATCTGAGTTCTCAGTGGAATTCAAATGAATAATTGCTTCATGTTAAACAGAATATTTAGCAAGAAATAGCTCTTTCAAATTTTCCCTACCTCACCGTCGTCAGTGAGAGCTAGAGAGTGATGGCTTCCACAAGCAACTTGGATAACTTTTTTCATTTGTAATCCAGAAGTCACAAGTGAAGGGATCAAGCCTTGGTTTGTATTTCCATTTCCAAGCTGACTGTATCCATTATGGCCCCATGTGTATATTTCTCCCGAGGCTAAAAGATATCAATTCTATTATAAATTATACCACTTATGTCATCAAAAAGGTAAATTTAAGTACTGCGAGAGGGTACCAGATTATTCACTGGTGCAGAGGTTAGCTCCCACTGGTTTCTGTAGCATTAAACATTTTATTGTATAAGTACAGTTGAATCTCACTACATGAATCCCTGAGGGGAATTGAAAAATAGTTCAAAATAGCCAGAGTTTGAAATAACTAGGCTGATTTGAATTAGCGGGTCCAACTGTACTGCAGTATGTCTGAATAGGATTTTATCATAAACACTAGCCATATAACCTTTGGGTGAAGAGAGGTTTTGAGACAGCAAAGAATCTTGCTTAATCCTCAAAGCACTGAAAATCTTTTTTCGGAGCCCATTACAATAAACATAAGTGATATGCTGGAAATACCAGACATTCATAATTTATTTCCATTTGTAAAATATAGGAAAGCTATGAATAACGGTGTTGATTAGAACTGCCCTGATCATCCACACTAATTTTAAGCTAATCCAGGATTGGGACATTCCATTTGTTATCCGTACACCCCCTATAGAAGGCAACCTCTGACACAGGGCCTGTTGGAATATTTTTTCAAAGAAGCCGACAAAATTTTGAACCCCTCAGATGCAAACTTCAAAGGTTCAGACAACAAAAAACTAGGGTGTCTGAATCTGCCCTTCCATGGGGGGGGGGGGGGGGGGGGGGGCTCTCCTATATGGGCTATATAGGTATGTGCGGACCCAAAGGGTAGGGTTTTTCGGCCGTTTTGGTCGTAAAGTAGGGTATTAATTTTGGCCATTTTGGTCACAAATAGGGTATGGTGTTTGCATTCTAGTCTTGAATTGGTATGTTTTATTAGGAGAAACTACTTTTTCATCATTATCGATAAGACCATCAACAATAGTCCTTCACATCTGAACTAGGTAACTAATTATAAGGCAGGTCTGAAGAAGAGTATTGATCAAAGGGTCGGATCATAAATAGGGTATCGAATTTTTGGTCAGGTCATACATAGGGCAGGGGAAATCGCAGATTTTGGTTAAAAATAGGGTAAGGGTTTTGTGAAGCGGCCCGCACACCCCCACCCAATGTTTCTGGGCGTTGGGAGTTGAGATTAAAAAATAATAATAAAACCAATGTTTGTTTTTTTACAAATCGGCGCACGGCAAAATGACGCCATTTATTTTCTATTCATATGTACAACTCATGCATTACAACTTCTATACCTGTTTAGATCTAAGGTACTAAGTAACATAATTTCTGTTTGAAAAATGATTTCCACTCTCTCTTCCTACTATTGCGTTGGGTAATAACTGCAACTTTGAAAACTAAAAATTTTACTTTCGATTATTTATGTCAGTGCCTAAGTAGAAAGAGGGGCCTTAACGAGGTAAAATGAGAACTGGAATTTGGCTATTTTCTCACTGAGTTAGGGTCGCTGGGACCGGGAATCACAAACAAAAATATGGACATGGGAATGGGATTTGGCAAAAAATCGACTGGGAAATGGGATTTGAGGAAACAGTGGGCTAGAGAATGGGATTTATACTCCCCCCCCCCCCCCCCCCCCC